AACGTGGTCACCGACAGCATGCTGACCAAGGCTGTCTCGGCCTCAGACACAGGTGATGCTGCTGGGGGGTGGTGGTGGTGCAGGGGGCCAGCGGGGGAGGGCAGGCCCTTCTCCCTGGGAGGCTGCCGAGCTGCCCAATGGGTGGGCAGCGGACCAGGCAGCCTGGGACCTGAGGGGGTGGCAGCAAGAGGGATCAGGTGAGAATCTTGCCCACACCCAGCCCTGCACCAGGCCCTGCTGACCAGCCCGGGCCCAGCTGGGGGCGTGGGGGACGGCTCGGCTCAGCCCGGCTCAGACACACAGGCAGGATCCCACTGAAGGAGGCACGTGGCTGCACTCCAGGCAGGGCGTGTGCGGAGGGGTGGACCCAGAGGCCCTGCCAGCCAGTCAGGAGGCCCACCTAGGGACGGAAATGGGCAGGGGGGCCAGGAGAGCAGAGCCCAGGAGGGCCTGGCCGCCCTCCCTGGACCGGCCAGGGCTCCTCCAGGCTTCCTGAGTGGGCACAGCTAGTGAACCCAGGACTCTCCCAGGCCCCTCTGGACCCAGCTGTCCTTCTGGGGGCCAGGAGTCCTGGGCCAGGCTTTGCCCTGCCCTGAGCTGGCACAGAGCAGGCCCACACTGGCTGGTTCAGGGTGCTCCTGTGAGCGGGCTGTGCTAGGCTTGGGCTCCTTCCAGGCATTCCCAGTCGCAGGGCCAGAAAGCTTGAGGGCTGGACTGGCCTTCAGCTGACCAACTGCCCAAGAAGGGAAGACAGGGGCAGCCCTCTCCTCCAGGCCTCCTGGGGCTCCAAGCCCTTCCAGGCCTGCGAAGCCATGGTCCTGGGAGAGCCAGTCTCCAAACAGCGGGACCAGGAGGGCTTCCTGGAGGAGGCGGCCATGGGAGAGGCACCAAGGAGAAGGTGACTAAGGCTGGAGAGAGGAGGGCAGGGCCTGGAAGGGAGGAGCAGGCCAGGCCACCAGGGCCACGTCATGCCAGCAACACCACCTTTGGCTTGGAAGGAGTAGGACCAGGCCCGGCAGCAGCCTGGGAACTGAGCCGCAGGGAGGCGGTAATTGCCCTGGTGTCTGGGCGTCGTGGGCAGTGGGAGAGGGCACTCTGACATTTCCCCACGCCAGGCCCAGGGCGGGGGAGGCCCTCCACAGGCTGAACTCCAAGGCACCTGGGTGCAGAAGCCCAGGGCCAGAGCCCCTCCGGGCGGTGGGGAGCGGACTGGGACCCGGGACCCTGCAGGCCGGGAGGGGAGCTTCGGGGCGAATGCTGTCGGAGGGTGGACAGCAGCCATCCTAGGCATGTCCACACCGGGGCAGCGCCCAGAGGGCGTGGAGACCTGGCAACTGGTAAAAGAGCTGGCTGCTCAGGTGGGGGCTCGGGCAGGGGGGAGCGAGAAGGGTGCTCGTGGGCCCTGGGTCCTGCTGCACTCCCTGAAGTCCCTCCCCTGCCCCAGGGGAGTCCACAGGGTGTCTAGGAGATTCCTGGGGGCGGACAGCGGGAGAAGGGGCTGACGGTCAGGAGGGGCTGTGGGATGGCGCTGGGGTGTTGTGCCCACCCAGAACCCTGCCCCGGAGCCCCATGGTGCCTTAAAAGGCCCTGCCCAGCCAGCCCCCTCGGCCCACTCAGCCAGGGCCTGGGAAAGAGCGGTGAGAAGCTCCCGGATGTTCTGGGCGGGGCTGGCCAGGTGCAGATGCCGTCCCCCTGGGCAGGCCTGGGGGGTGGAGCCTGCACCTGACCTGGGGCCCATCCTCAGCTCCTCCCACACCAGGGAACTTTCTCGAGTAGAGAAGACTCAGCCCCACATCTGAGGAGGCACCTGTCTCAGGGCGTGACGGCTGTCTCCTCTTTCCCCAGGGACCATGCTGGGCCTCTGTGCCTCTGTGCAGCCACTGACCCGCACCTTGGGGCCCACTCTGGGTGGCCTCCTGTACCGCAGCTTTGGCGTCCCCATCTTTGGCCATGTGCAGTTTGCTGTCAACTTCTTCCTCCTCCTGGTCCTCTGGAGGAAGCCCATGACACACAAAAGGGACAAAGCCTGGTGACCAGCCCC